TTAAATGGAATCTATGAAGACATGTCCATAACACTGTATGCGTCGTCGCCGTCCGTCCGACCGGAAGCTGTTCGCAGGATATATAAGGGGGCCAAGGTGAGAAGGTCAGGTACCTTCCCCAAAAAGAACGGAGTAAAACGGACCAACACTGACGGAGTTAGCATGAGCTATCCGGAAGGGTCTCCAGAGTAGTCCCGGGTAGTGCCGGAGACATCTGGGAAGGTTTTACGCCAATCATGCCTACACGTGCCCCTTTGCCGTAGGTTCTTTGTGGGTTGTTTGAAGACTCTAATAGCATGACACTTATCACGGTGAGTGGTGTACCGGGGGTAAGGGACCATGGGTAGCGCCTATGGGTCCCGCCGCCAACACAGGTCTCCGAGGGAGCGTCGTAGACCCCCTAAGTTCGCAATCAAGAAAGATAGAACTTTGCCGGAACACAGCTGATGTCTACGAGTGCTTGCATAGGTCATAGCATATGGGAAGAGAGTCATTTAGTTAGCGTTCCCAAGGGTCTCGACAGTTAGCCACTGACGGGACACCGATGTACAGAGGTTTTCACTCCGGCAGGTGTATTGGTAAACACCTCGCAGGAACTAATGTGCATATGGGAGATTTCTGCTAGAGTGCGCTGACACCTATAGCCTTTTGGGGACACGGTAATGGTGCCGGGGCAACCCTCATGGAGAAGGGCATACTCACGTTGGTCGGGGTAACCTGATGGGGGAGTTTTTGGTATAAGTCTGACTACTTAAAGATTATACGAGAACTCTCCTACCCCGACACAATCAACATCCTCACGAGAGACTTTAATTGAGATAAGCTTGAGCTTAACGATATTAAGTTTTACCGTTTACTTTTATTCTTTACACTTTTGCAAGAGCTGTGTTCGAGAGATTCCAAGTTTGGTGCGGTCGTATCCTTAGGAGCCATCTACCTGAGGGAGCCCCCGTTACCGGAAGGCACTCCAGAACGACTGGCGGAGAGAAGAGAAAGAGGCGGAAAGAGCCCTGACGAGAGTACGGAAAGTAAGTGCTTGGTTAAACAAGGAAACCAAGTAGGGACTAGCCGCGGACAGGGCATGGGGATTGGAGGAAAGGTTGATATAAGCCCGATGGGACTCGGGCTGAGGGAGAGGGGAGCTAATGTCACAAACTGTGACCAAGCAAGGCAGATTTCACATAGCTCGGATTTCCGAGTTATAGGTATGTTGGGATTTCACATGACGCACACTAGTGCGCCATAGGTTATTATGTTTACCTGTTCGTGACTCAAAGTTGTGAGTCACACGATATTATGATTTCGCACATGACTCATACTTATGAGTTATGGCTTTCACTCAGGTGATGTGAGTTGCGCACCTGATTTGGTTATTATGTTTTGATTGGTTAAGGCATGTTGCACAGCGACTCATAGGAGTTGTCTGATAGATTTCGCATGACTCATGGTTATGAGTCACAGGGTTCGCGTGACGCAAGGTATGAGTCACGCCAGGTGAAGAGCTACTATATAAAGGGTCAACTAGGACTCCGAGTATGAGCTCTTCACACATTCTTCTTGTTTATTTCCTACCTTCAAGTTATTATCAAATAAAACCTACTTTTACGCTCTTTAAGATTTATCTTAAGAAACCCGAGAATTGTCTTTCCTCTCAAGCGAGAAAACTATTTCTCCTCCCACATCGAAAGACTAAGTCCTGAGTGAGGACTAAGAACAAGGATAAGGAGATAGGTGCGAACACGATAGTAGTCATAGGACTGGACTATCGGGATTGTGTAGACATAAGTCTGAGAACTATCACCTTACAGACAAGTATCGTTACCTGTCGCTAGGTCCTACTCGGTAGGATTCTTAACAATAGTATTATAAAGATATTGTATATAAGAAGTGATTTAACTTACTTACCTTTAAATAAACTAAATATAATACTCAACTAAGTTTTGATTATTATTACTCACCATCCTGGAAGTCAAGGAAGGGGTTCTGTCCCACTAATTCTTATGGGTATAGTATGTGCCTCTACTGCATATACTAATAATACTTATCTGATCGATAAAGTAAAAAAACTACTTGTTAATAGACCAGGCAGATGAAATGCCATAAATTTATTTCTTTTGTGATACTTAAGAACCACCAATGGACTATTAAAGGACCCTTCAAAGAACTATTAAAGGTCCATGAAAGGAGCACCCTGAATACCCCTATTGTCCCTCAATCAATCTTTAAAACCATTTAGTACTTGGAGTTGCTTGCACTCTCCATATATCATACTTGACAGTCAATAGTGTGTCTCGGCACAAACCCGATCCTTCCAGTTTATTGCCTTGCTGATCACTACCACATGAGGGTGTCCGGCTTCAATCTGGCCGCGCGAGTACTTCGTGAAAAATCACAAAACTCACTATCATGCTCGCGCTATTGCTCGTTGCTGAACTGGGCTGCTTACTAAGCCTTGAACAAAGACTTTTAACTAGTCGCTTTCGCTACGAGTAGACAGTCAGGGGGTGCCAAGACTTATGTTAAACCTGCGTACGAGTACCGTACCGGTAGGTTCACCCCCACCTAGCGCTATTGCCTGAAAGCAACGTAAGGGATTCTGTCTCGTTGTCTTAGGATAGATCGCGAGATAAAAGTTTTGTTCATCGCTATTCAGCAAGTGTTAAGATTGTTTTGGCCCCAAAATGCCTTGGAGGTTTGGTTACTTACTGTATTGAATCGTGATACATCGGTACGGTGCGAGTACCGGTAGTGAGTTGCAGAGGGTTTCTGACCCTGACTGGTTTAAGAACTCTTAATCCCGTCCAGAATTAACCAGGTCCTGCCGGTACTGCAGCTAGCGCTATAAATCACGGTGGTCGTGGAGGATTCTGGGAAATCAAGAATTTCCCCGTTTAGATGAGGGGGAGAGAACGCTGGCACCGGAAAGATTCTCACTTCCTGCCCTGGGTGAAACCAATTGAAGAAAAATAAAACACACCTCTCGGAGAAGCAACTACCTTCTGAGATCCTCAAGCACCCAGTATTTAGGGTAGGTTGAATTCAGGATAGCAACTGATCTTCCAAACTTCACAAAACCGTCGTGCCAGGCATTTTGGTGCTGTGATATGCGGAAAGTGGAATTATTGGTCTAACGGTACAAGTATCATGCCGAACTCTCTGTGCTCTGGCTTCGCTCCCCCGACTTTTCTCCTGTATCGTTATTTGCCTGTTGTATGATGCCCTTCCTCCCGACAACCACCATTCCAAACAATCTTTGAGCCGCCTGACCGAAAAAAAGGGACAGAGGGCCAGACAGACTCAGCCAGACACAAAAGGAGACCAGAACACGGCACCACCTCGAAGTCGCATCTCCTTTTCTTTTTCTCACCCACCTCCCCCGTCTCCTTTCTCCTCCAACTGGTACTGTACCAAGTTCTCAACTTTCTTCTTTCCCGTTTCTTATTTCTCACAGGACCTTCGTTATTTTGTTTTTATGATTTTCCTTTTCCTTTCTTTTTTTACCTTCTTTTCTTATTCCTAACATCCCACCCCCCCCTGAGGGCGTGGTACAGTACAGTACTGTACTCGAGTACCATAACCTTGGCCACACAAATTCATTGGATCCCCTTTTGTCTTTAGCAGACTCAATCATGAGCTTGAACCGTGAGCTGACCAGGGGGGGAATGAATGAGGGTGGAGGAGGATGGTAAGACCGGCGGCGCTTTGTGGGAGGAAGGCGTGAGGTGAGAGTGCACAGAGAGAGATATTTATTACCTCCTCTTTATTTTTAAACCTCAATAATGAACAATCATAGGGTACGGGTAACGTACGATATATAGGTCAGTGTGTGTTTTCATTTCCCTTCCAACCATCTCTCACAATCTCTCTTTCTCTCTTCGCCTCACTTCTCGGTATGCAAGTATAATATGTCAATTCAGGAATAGAGTAATCTGGCGGGATATCATACTAAACGATGGGGATCATAATAACTGCAGTAAATCACACGTGCTGCTGCCCTTTATACCGTATTTTCCTGGCCCAACAGCCGCCCCTTCCCCTCCAACAAGGGGGTGGGAATGGTTGCCGCTCTTCAATTCCCAACTCTTGTCCAAAGACGGAACAAGCCGTATAGAATCCTTTCGCCTCTGCCCGCCTGCAGCTCTCTGGAAGCACTCTATTGACGTCTTCTCAAGCTTTTTCCCTCCTGTTTCTTCTTTCTCTTCTTGGAATCTCGAATTCACTTGTTTGATTTTGATTGATCTTTTGTCCTTCTTTTCCCTGTTATTCTCCTCCACTCTTTCTGTTTTTCGCCCAACCCGTATAACCCTATACCACATCCTTCGCCTCTCTTTTCCATCCACCCCCTCCTCTTCCTTCCTTCTTCCCCCACTCGCCGCCTCCGCCAGCGCCAGCCTAGCTCCACCGTTCGTTCTCTCGCTCGCTTTCGTTCCACCGCTTGCTCCGCCCTTTGTTCAAGTCTCCCACACCTAAAAACACCAGCAGCAGCCTCGTTTTTCCCCACGCCAAAACTGAACCCCCCCCCCCCTTCCATCCACTGCCCATTCCTTTGGTGGCATTTCTCCAGGCAGAGAGATGCCATCCTGGTTGTTATCGTAAACCACGAGGACCGTTTTCCTGTTTACCTAAGTTGCTCGCTTTCCTCAAGAACCCCAGTCCCCGGACACCACTTACCAACCCACATCTGGCCTATCACATTGCGCCAAATACTGGGCGACAGGCGCTCTTGATTTCTACGACCCTTCTCGAATATAAGATAAACCGCCTCAACCAACTGAGAACTATATAAAAAAAAAGAAAGAGGGAAAGAAGGAAGGAAGGAAGGAAGGAAAAAAGAAAGTTCGAGATCTACTCAAGTGAACAAAAAGTTCACTAGTTTCTTTGGGACTACTTACAAGTTCATAGTGGAGTCTGGGCCCGGGAAATATTTTTGTCGAAGAGAGCGGTGTAGTGGTTTAGTGATCATCCCATCCTCGCGACGCTTTCGAGAAAATAAAAGGAACATGCCGCCCAAACGTCAATCCTCATCTTCCTCATCCACCACAACAACCACGGCTGCTGCACTCGGTGGGGTCACGAGTGGTGATTTTTATCCTGCCGATGAATTCACGCGAACTGTAAAGAAGCGTTTGGCGACGTCTTCGAGAACTGGCCAAGCCTGCGATAGGTGTAAGGTTTGTTCTTCCCCTCTTATCCTCTTGTACACCTCGTTCACGTCTATTCATCCCGGGAATCACCGTCCCTAACTTCATTTTATTGATACCCCTCACCGTTTAGGTTCGCAAAATCCGATGCGACGGTCTGCCAGGAGGTTGCTCGCCATGTATTCAGAATCGAACAGAGTGCCGAACTACCGACCGTATTTCTCAAAAGGCTATCCCTCGGGGCTACGTAGAGAGTCTTGAGGCAAAATGTTCCGCGCTTGAAGCCAAGAATAAGGAGATGGAGGCTGCACTTGCGAGAATGGGAATAGAGAGCAGGAGCAATGGTGCTGGTGGGACCAACGGATTCGCTCCTCGAACCACCACCGACTGGGGCACAACTAGTGCGAAGGCTGGCTCTGATGGACCTTGGAGCCAGAATAGGAGAAACTTCACTGGGCCCGGCCAGGGAAATTATCCGACCTCGACTGGGTCTTGTTGCTCTTCACAGACGCCGGAGAGACTCTGTCAATCTATCCGGTCTGCTAGCTTCCGACCCGGGAATACCGGGACTCACTATTTAGGGATTTCTTCGAGCTCTTCGTACCTCAGTTCCATCAAAGCTTCGGCGTTGTCTCTCCTTGGAATTGATATCGACTTATCAGACCTGGATCCCAGCGAACCGAGTCATTCACCTAATGCGACTGATGAATCGTTCAGCAGTTGCCTTTCGACTATCTTCAATGTCAATCCAAATGTGCCCAAGATGGAATTACCCCTGCGGGATGAAGCTTTTCAATATGTGGATTGGTTCTTCGTCATATCTCACCCTTACCTGCCCATCCTTCACCGTCCAACCTTCATCACGATGGTAGAGCTCCCTCGTTTCCCTTACTCACTCCCGCTCTTCGGACGTCTGCTAACCCGACCGCCATTCCAGCTTGATAAGATGTACAACGACAAGGCCTACGAGCCCAGCCCTGCTCAGATTGTGATGGTCCATATGGTTTTTGCTATTGTACACTTTCAGAATGCGTCACGGGACCGCATGAAGAACCGAGGTCATAGTACACCTGCCTCGACCGAGGTCATGCAACGTTCGCGCAACCATTATCATTACGCCCTTTCATTCTTTTATGGTTTGCTCAGTCATTCTACGCTTGAAGATCTCCAAGCTATCGGATTAATTCTTCAGCATCTTCGCGCATTCCCCAAACCTGGTGGAAGTTGGCTCTTATCCCGTATCGCTATCTCGCTGTGTTTCGAGCTTGGTCTTCACCGGTCCCCCAAGAAATGGGTCTATCCCGGTTCGACGCAAAATACTATCGAGATAGAGTTGCGAAAACGAATTTTTTGGTCCATTCTCACGTTGGAGACCTCCCTGAGCTCAAGACTTGGCCGGCCGATGAGCATTCGGGCCGTCGATTACGACGTTGAGTACCCGGAGCGAATTGATGATGAATATATCACCGAATCAGGTTTCATCAAGCGTGATGAGAGCGTTGGTGAATGCTCATTCGATGTTGCTATAGAAATGTTCAAGTTTACTACTCTCTACATCGAAATGTTGGGAACATTGTACACCCCTGCACGGCCTTCGACGGAGAAATACGTCTCTCTTGTGCAAGACTTAGAAGCCAAGCTGGATGCGTGGAGGGCTCAAGCTCCAAAAAGCATAGGTATGGACAACGGAGGAGTGGTTTGAGGTAGGTATCTTGCTGATAGGCCATAGCTCTCGGCGCACCCAAAGTGGAAAAGAGATTTCAGGCAGTGCACCTAGATTCCTGGTACCACGAGTGAGTTAGACTTCGCGTCTGAATTGAGCTTCATTCCTCGCTAATATCCTTAATGATGTCGAATTCTCATGCGTCATCCATCACTGAGCCTTTCGCCATCCCCCTCGTTCACGAGTGACTGTATCACAATATGCGTCGAGTCATCTCGCCAGATTCTACATCTAACGGACGAGCTGCGCAAGGGGAGTCATTACCTGGATACAACCTGGTCCGGAACTACCATTCAGCTTCTAGCTACCCTAACAATCCTGTTTTCCGTATGGCAAAAGCGGGATACGGTTAGTTCCGAAGAGGTGATACAAGTCAAAACTGACATGGATTTATGCATGGATATTATGGGTGACGTTGGAAGTCTGCTGGGTACGCCCTCAATTACACACGTTGGGGCCGAGGACTCGGACTGACCAATTTCCACAGGCTCTCCCAACAGACTGCGAGAAGTAGTACAACTCCTAACTCAGGGAACAATGGAGCTTTTGAATCGCAAGAAGGAACAAAACCCGCGCTCTATGTCAACCGCTCGGGGAAGCACGAACTCCTCATACCCACCGTATACCACCTCCCCTCCATACAACACTGCAGCAACAGCGCCCCCTGCAATGAAAATCCCTGCTCCAGTCACCCAGGATCAATTCCAGCCTCCCCTTTACCACCCACCTCCTCATGACGGCCGCCCCCCAATCTTCAATGACCCTGGAGTGGTTCCGGGAAGCGATTTTGAACCCTCACTCACTCATACGGGCCCAATCTACAACCCTCAACCGCCTGTCTTCGCCCAGGGCGCAACCCCATCTTATCCAATGGATTGGTGGTCGGGTAACGAATCCTGGCGTGAATACACCCACTCAATTTCACACATGGCGGGCGAATTGGACCCTACAGAAACTTACTCCTCTGCCAGTGCGCTCATCACTCTGAACAGGGATTGTAATAACAGCATAATTCGCCCTGACCCTCCCGCGCAGCACACCAACGCGAATGTGAGCGCTCCCGGTGGGATTGTTCTGAGTACCGCTACTACGGCGGAAAGTCCGGGCGGAGCTATGCCGAGCAGGAGCCCGTTTTCGCAGAATAATGAGCCACCGAATGGTTGGCCCATGATGGGGAACTTTGCCTTCGGCGATAACTCTTTGCCGAGGGGCGGGGATGGAGGCGTGCCTTGAGAGATAGGATAGGTCACCTTTCGCTACGGACTGTCTGGTATTTTGTATTAATTCCGCGTACTTACCTTACTCTGGTTCTGGGTTCTTATTTTGTATTCTTGCGTTCTGGGATTTCTTATTTTATTCTCTGGTTCGGGTGTGGCTGCTGTGATCGATAAAATGCGAGTCATTTACTTTCTTTCCCCTCAGGACAATATTGGGTGTACTCAAGACGCGGGATTCCTTTCTCCCCCAGTTCCATTCACCTCTTGCTTTCCGTGCATGTTAGCTATAGTCTCTTTCTATCCCTTGATTCCCTCACCTATTATCTTGCGCTACTTGACCGAATTAATTCCGCCGATTTCTTTCTTTTCTCTGGGTGGTGCAGGGGTGTTCGGTAGCACAAGATGGCAGACAAGCAAGAAAGGCGGCGAATCCCCCCTCCCCGATATTCCTCTCTTCGATTTAGTTCTCTTAGGCAAAGGCTTCATAATTCCAAGCTTTCGTGTTCATTTATTTATATAAACCGTTCTACTTGTATGTATTATACCCATCCCATTCCACGTCTCTGTTGGCCGTTCGTTGCTGGGCTAGCTTGCTGTGCGATTATGCAAGAGGAGGGAGGTTAGATGATTGACGAGGCCCATACTGGCATTCGCATTTCTTTCACTCTTGGATTGTTGATGGATGGTAGCTAGGGCAGGGTGCAGCGCAGTACAGTACTGTACCGTACTTCATACCCAGCTTCTGCGCCCAATTTGTCAATCGATGGATCAAGCTTCGGCTGGCAAAAACCCAGCTCCTGTCCGGGGCTCCTCTACCCCCCTACGATTGGTTAACGGTTTCCTAGGTAAACTATTCTTTACCTACCACCCCAAGGTAGACACAACTCTTCCTTCCGTCCCACTTCCTCTCCTCCATTTCTCCATTTCTTCCCTCTATCCTACCTCAACCAGGTTGGTCCAAGCTAGCAAGCCGCAGCAGCGGTGCCAGTAAACAAGGTACTGTACTCTACTAGAGCGGTAGGCAGGGTAGGCAGGCAGCTAGGGGAGGCAAGCCAGGAAGAACAGAACGCGCTAGTACTCGAGTACAGTACGAGTACACGAGTGAAAAAAGCAAGGAAAGATTCCCTTGAGCAAGCTATGTATGGGGTGCCTATTTTTATTTTTGGGAATAATCGGATGTATCGCATAGTGTACTTGTACAGTGTGGATGTGCGCTTGTACGTACTGTACTCGAGTATGCTTCAAGTTCGGACTCTTATTTTCTTTTCCTAGATAAGCATTGCGACCGCTCTCCCCGTTCCTTTGGCTTTCCGGCCTATGATACCGGCATTCTACTGATAAGTTTTTTTTTTTATCATGACTCGAGCCCCCTCCCCCGGATTGTGGTCACGGTGGTAATTGGGAGTTTCGATGGAGTACTCGTACACTATAGTATTGCCAACTTTAAGAGGAAGCCCAAAGGTCGTCCAGAATGCGATTGCGCAATAGCATTCATCAGGGGCCAGGCTGTTGATGGTTTCGCAGCGGACAATCAGATAAACTGTAAACTCATGAGTTAGTGGCCTGCCAAGGATTGATTAAACAGAGAGAGCCTTGGAGCGGGGAGGGGAAAAAAGAAAGTGAGGATCCGCAGCTACCCCCCCCCGTCTTATGAGTTTTTTTTTGCAATCATTGGGAAATGTACCGTATTGGTTCAAATAAGTTGTTTGTCCGATTGATTGGGTTGATCTGCCGTTACTGTAGGGATAATTTGTTATACCCGTCCCATGTCTTGTCCCATGTCTTGTCCCATGTCTTCCATATTATCGTGCAGTATTAAGGATTCTGGCAGCGCCTACGGTAGCCCATCCGGCCTAAAGCATCTTATCCTGTTCTCTTGTTCTGTTGTTCTCATGAAACCTTCACTTCTGCATTTTATAGTCCAGCAGGGTATCGTACTCGCACCGTTCATTGCCGCAAAGAGCTCCTAGCCAATAGAATCGTGCCGGAAGCTATGTACGGTCCAATCAGGACTTCTCACCGATACCGAAAATCTGAAACTGACCGGAGGATGCTCGAGCACACTACCATTATCGGTGCGGTGCTCTATTCGTACTGGATGGTGTAGCAATTGTCAAAGAGGGAAGCCGAAGGAGAAAAAGAAAAGAAAATATTTGCACGAAGAAATCCAACTCACACAGATACACCTAAGGTGAAAATTTTCGCAGCCTTACAGCAAGTTCAGCCACAGTTGCAAGCGGGAACTCTATCTCCCTCACACGTGTGAAGGTCATGGGCGGGGACAAATAAAATGAGAAACGTGATCGCAGTTACTTTTATGAATGGTACTTGTATCTACAGATAATGCTTCAAGGTGCATCCTGTACAGTAGAGTTAATTGAGAGAGCTGGGTTGATCGATAGGTGGCAATTTTTCCTTTTTCTTCCCCTTTGGTAAATAGGAAAGGGGTTATTGTACTTCTACAAGTACCTGTACCGGTACTGTACTCGAGTGCGATGCAGTATTTGTTTTTCTGCTATGTTTTTTTTTTGTTCTTGCGCGCGAGTCAAAAAGGAGAACACACGTAAATTAGGTCTGATATGATAGGAGAGAGTGTGGAATAGAAACAGCATCCATCGCTGTTGGTCACAGTGCGGGAGGAGGATCCAAACATGTTCTCGCGGCGGGAGGGGCAGAGCTTAGCGTGCTCAACCGAGTCTGGGGAAAAAGGCTTAGCTGGGGAAGCGCCCACGGTACTCGAGTAACCTCTCTCCTGCTAATGTATCCCAGCAGAACCTCAGGGAAGCAAGGACAAACCCAAATCAAATAGAAAGGAAATGCCCCGTGCTGTCGGTATCTCCAGTTCGAAACCGTGGGATGAAAGTCGTAAGATTTACTGCAATACCGGTATCCCCCTGACATGCACATCTCTCCCTTCAGTGATGCCCTCTCCTGAGTAATAGTATGCCCTGTTGGGATTATCGAGAGCGAATGGTTTATGTGAGTTTCTCCTAGGGTCCAAACTCTTGTACCACCAACGAGAACCGACCAAAAGTTGTTCTCTGAGTGCCCAATGGAGGGAAAACGGCAGGAGTGTCTAATAATAGGGAGAGTGAGGATTTGTTTGGACGGAAACTCTGATGCCACGTTCTCAGTGTCAGCCGCACCTCCGAACCGAGTGAGGGAGAATGAATTGATGCATCGAATGTCACCCTAATGATATTAGCCGTCGATTGCTAACCTGAGCCGAGATGACCCGGATGCGCGAGTGCCTGTAAATTATTAAGGGTTTGGAGAAGTAGGGCGGGATGGTAGGTACGAGTGAGATACTTTGTGCTTGAGTACCGGTACACGTGAGGCCATCATCCGGGTCCCATGGAGATGGGAATTGTGCGCACCTTGCTACCAAAGCGTCCTCCTCCATTCAAGTGCCTATTGCTCTCCATCGAGGGTCAAAGAGAATCAAAGGCAAAGCGATACCATGCTGTTGCCTCCTCGATCATCCCGCGAAGCAGGGCTTAATTAAGTATGGTGGTGTAGCACCATGGCTGCCTTAGGGTGTAACACCTGGATCCCCATGCCAAGCTCAATGCTCGATGTCGTGGGGCTGAGCCACCCCTTAAGATTATCGTCCTAACCACAATGGGAATCGACGATTCCCACAGAAGCCTTGCGTGCATTTAAGAGTCACACCAAAGGGAGCCCCCACACGCCCCCGGTTGGCGGGAACTTTAGCTTGATGTGCAGGTGAGTTTCTTGTGGAGTTAAGCATCAACAGCTGCCACCGAAAGGGGGGGATTGATGCTAACTTTAAAGTTTGGCCACTTCTGGGCGGGCATTTGCTCTCTTGTTCGCCCCTGCCTACCAATAGCCCGCCCCTTAAGACATGCCCTCCTTGTACCGTATGACGAGGTTTGTGACACTCCCACCAGTGTCTTCACCATGATTACCTAATTAATGCTGCCCTCTGGATTACCGTTCATGTCGGGTAGTTCCGTTGATTGACACGCCGGAAAAGCCAAACCTGATCTCGGGGTTTGCCGGTATCATAGATTATATGACGCGGTTTGTTTTTGTTAGACCGAAACCGTTAGATATTGTTTTAAGGTTGTACATGTAAATATGATACCGACTTGTTGGTTCGGGATTCTAAATACATTTCCCGATGCCGCTTCAGGTGCGATCACTCGCAAGGAAAATTCCGTGAAATAGCCGTCACACACGGAACAAACTGGTATCTGTATCATCCGGACTTTGATTCAAGCACCTCCAGTGATTCCGGTTCCGACTTTTCCGACGACCCGAGCCGATGCGCCGGTTCTACAGGTACATTATCCTGTGTTTGCTGTGACTTCCATGGGTGCTGAGAATGGTACTATTGGTAGGGTGTGGTGTGCAGAACAGGGCCACACTTCGGTCGATGGCTCAGGAAGTAATCACGATGCGCCCAACCGGCGAAAGTTGCAGCAAAAGTTCCACAAACCTATTCCACGTTCAGGCCAGGCTACGTCTAGTTAAGGAACATTCTTCGCTGTCCCTTGGCAAGGTGGTTATCTAGGAATAGTATCAACGGCTCGAGAACAATAACTACTTTCCGAATTCAGGACCTTGAGATGTCCTTTTTTCTACTTTTCTTTTTCCCAGTCGCTCACGTTGCTACGGCACCGGAAAAGATTGAATTCTACTTCATTTTTTCGCCCAGATATCTCACCTGCAACGTATGATTCCCGACAAACCTTTTTGTGCGAATACCGCACTCTGCTCAGGCCTTTTTGTCCTGTGGACAGTAGGGGAAGCTACTCCATGGCGATTAGCGAGCTAGATATCACCCGCCCGGTGGATTCTACTTCTCACTTAGGCGTCAGATCAGTTTACCCATCTTATCACCTCAACCTACGGAGACGCACTCAAAGCCAGGAAGCAGGGAACACCCGCCTGGTAGCGAGGGGGTTATTCTTTTGTGGACCACTGACCAATTTTCAAGCATGCAAACAGCAAACCGAGGTCAAATCAGTAAGGCGATTAGCAAGGAGA